AAATAGTCCGACTAGGTAAGTCCAACTTCGACCGAGAGGTCAATCGACGGATTCAACTCGGCTGGGCAGCGTTCGGGAAATTACGGCATATCTTTTCGTCAGGTATACCTCAATCTCTAAAAACTAGATTGTACAACCAGTGCGTGTTGCCAGTGATGACTTACGGATCTGAGACGTGGTCCTTCACTGCTGGCCGTATGAGGACGCTTAAGGTCGCTCAGCGAGCTATGGAGAGGGCTATGCTCGGAGTTTCTCTGCGTGATAGACTCAGAAATGAGGATATCCGCAGTAAAACCAGAGTGACCGACATAGCCCAACGGATTAGTAAGCTGAAGTGGCAATGGGCCGGCCATATAGCTCGAAGAACCGATAACCGATGGGGAAGAAAGGTTCTCGAGTGGCAGCCTCGTACCGGTAGGCGTAGTGTAGGGCGACCCCCCACTAGATGGAGTGACGACCTGGTAAGACATGCAGGAAGTCGATGGATGCAGGTGGCTCAGGACCGTGCTTTGTGGCATTACTTGGGGGAGGCCTATGTTCAGCAGTGGACTTGTGAAGGGCTGTAATGATGAATGATGATGATGATATATATATATATATATATATATATATACAGTGTGTAAGTGTAAACACCGTTGTCACTGAAACCATAGGTGGTTGGCTTTAATATAAAAATATTTATCCGATGGTATTTTTTTACTAACATTTCTAAAACACTATATATATATATAATAAAAAAAAAAAAAAAAAAATAAATAAAAAACTTAACCCCAAATGGGATATTTATATTCCCATTCCGATGGTATTTTTTTAGAAAAAAACGCTATTTTCTTTTATAAAATTAAAAAAGTTTCTGTCCGACACCGTCCGTAAATTCATGGATACCCTATGCGCTCGTGCGCTCGAGTGACGTAATCACTGTAAAGATCACCGCCCGCCCTTGCTACCTACACAACATTTCAATATAAACACAATCGTTATATATATATATATATATATATATATATATATATATATATATATATATATATATATATATAGGGTGTTGTTTGCCTCTTACGACACCCACGGAAATGGGATATTTATATATCCCATTTCCGTGAGTGTCGTAAGAGGCAAAAGAGGGAATATGAAACAGCAGATGGGTGGCAGCATCTTCTTGATAACAGCAAAGTAATAAAAAGCTGCGAATGCCGAGCGTGAATACTACTGCAAATACCCGGTCTATTTGACAAGCAATAGAGGAAGCCCATGATCAGCAATGAATAGCCCTATTAAAAGTAAAAAAGTAGCCTAAATACATCCCACTAATAGGCACAGGCTACAGCGAGTTTTAAGTCAAAAAGAAGTTGAGTTGACTCCTACTGACTCCCACGCGGGATCACCGACTTCACATTTGCTTTCTTTGATATTTATAGTGCTTTTTCACAAGAAACTGTTCATTTACTCATGTGAGCTATGCAACAGGGACTGTCACAAAAATTTTTATAGTTATGTCTGAAAATATGAAAGCTGTCTTAATATATGACAAACTGTTTTAAAAATCTTATTAAAGGTAAAAAAAACTTACTAGTACTTATATCGGACTTGATACAAAAAGAAATTTGTTAAATATTGCTATGCCGATAGACACACAACATATTCAACTAAAGACCTGCTCTCTTAATCTGTTTTGTGTACACAGTTTTTATGGTAATTTGGGTATAATCAATAATTATGGTAAATCATGCAGACAGTGGACACCGGTCTATACCTACCTACACACAAAATTTCATGGAAATCCGTTCAGTAGTTTTTGCGTGAATCTTGAATACGCAGACAGACAGACAAAAATTCTAAAACGACTAACTTGGCTTCAGTGCCCTTTATCTAGTCCCCTGGACTTGTTTTCTCCAGATAATATTATAAAAAACTTGAGAGGCGTCAAGGGACACCCGGATGGAACGAAGTTCTTGATCACTCACTACATTCATCTGATCTCTCTGCAGTTCGTATAGGTTAGAACACGCACGGCTTGCTAAATACATACGCATTGCTATTGTAATATTAAAATATAATTTGCTTTTGAATTTATTAAAGTTATGACGCGTACACTTGCTAAACACACAATAATGGAGAGATTATAACGCATTTGACTTGGTTAGCACAATAGTGAAGAGAAGTTACTTATAATGCGTACTTGCTCAAAATACATAAGCATTTATTATTCATCATCATCATTACAGCCCTTCACAAGTCCACTGCTGAACATATTATTGTCTGTATAAAATCTCTACTTACCTAACTCCATCAGCAATATCCGGAACTTGTGCAGAAACACTGTCAGGATTAATTATTGTTATTATTTTTTATTATTTATTATGTACAAAAAGCCTGTATACACTCAACAAAAATAATCGTCGCGACACCACACTGTTCAATGCGAAATAGAAAGACGAAACGAAAATAGCTGGCTTGCTTTCTAGACGAGAGAGAGAGAGAGAAAAAGAAACACGCGCACGCCGCACGGCTTACAACTATAGCAAAAAGTGTCGTTACAACTTTTGGTCGTAATTTTTTCCGTCTAGCCTCCTTTCGCAACGCGCAATAAGAAACTTAGTTCCAATTACAGACACATTACTACAGATTTATTATATGTATAGATAAAGGTGACAGACGAACTCACAGTCAAATCATAAATGTGTATTAGGTACATATAATGGCACTGTATAATACGTAACACAACATGATATAAAATTCGAAACTAATACGCAGATGCCTCATGCTCAACCCAGCGATTTTGAATTTAGCTTCATCTGGCAATTTTTGGGAACTAATGTTGCAACTTTAATTTTTGTCAGGTGATACTCTGCTAAATTGGAATGCAAAAAACACCGTACCTTTAACAAGTAAGTTGTACGTGGTAGAGCCATGCTGCAGTTATATTAGTAGTATAGTTGTGGCACGAATAGGTCGGCTCGACCGGGGAGGGACCACGCTCTCACAAAATACCAGCTTGAAATAGTAGCTTACCTAATGCTGCTGTATTTCGTATGGTGAGTGTAGAGAACCGGAGACCCTTTTTACTGGAAACGAGGCATTCCATCTTAGTCCTCACGGGTGACAACGCATCTGCATTTTGATTCGTAATCGAGGATAGATGTGGATGTCTATGGGCCACAGCAGCCACTTACCATCAGGTGAACTGTGTGCTCGTTTGTCACCCTATCCTATAAAAAAAAAAAAAGTAACCCATTAAAAATTCATAAGAGGTATACCCATGCATATTACCTATGCGTGAGAGGCATAATTTGTTCGCCATCTCGAGAGCATAGTGATTTTAATATGCTATGCTGCACTTGGTCATCTCTCGGTAGAAAGTAAGAAGTAGGTTATACGTTCATTTTTCCATCAGTTCAGTCCAGCAGTCTGATCAGACTGGCGCCAAACGGATCGTCTATCTTATTGACTAACTCATGTATCATAAAGAATTTTTAAATATTTTGATATTTTTCGTCACTCTCGGATGGCAGACTGATGGCAATCTGACTATGAATGCGTTTATTAGTCAAAGCTTGGATAGCTAGACGCTATTTCACCGCACAAATAGAATAGAATAGAATCATTGGAAACATGGTGGAGCCATACTGCAGATTAATTATAGTTGTAGAACGAATGGGTCGGCCGGGGATGGTCAACACTCTCACAGAATACCAGCGTGAATTAGCACCATAATGCTGCGGTTTCGAATGATGAATATAGAGAACCGGAAACTCTTTTCATTGGAAACGAGCCATTCCATCTATGGCAGGGGTCAAAAACATTTAGCTCCGATAGCGATTTACAGGACCATCGGCGTATCTTATTACTCTGTACAGGTCATGTGGATGTCACGTGTTGAATTAAATAGCGGTATGAAGTACTACCTATAAAGAAAGTATACAAATTCAAAAGTACACATAAGTTTGAACAAATTTATAACAAGGAAAAACTTAAGACTGATATAAGGAAGACATTAACAACTTATTATTAAGGCACATGTAAAACCTTTTCAACAAGAAAATGTGTTCTGCTTACTTTGTATTCGTATGAGGTTATGTTTTATCGTTTTTTTTTTATAGAAGAGGGGGCAAACCGCCGCCCATGATCAACCGCAACACCAGGGGAATCGCAGGTGCGTTGCCGGCCCTTTAGAAAGGAGTAAGCTCTTTTCTTGAAGGTCCCCGGGTCGTATCGGTCCGGAAAAATCGCCGGTGGTAAACTATTCCACAGAGAGGTTGTACGCGGAAGAAAACTCCTTTTGAAACGTACAGTGGTGGACCGCCAAGCATCCAGATGGTGTGGATGGTATCGGGACGTTGCCGCGTAGTGCGTTCACGAAATTTGGCGGCTGGGACTAATCCGAACAATTCCTCAGAGCACTATCACCCCATGGTATATGCGAAAGAAAATGCAAAGAGATACTTTATTTGTCTACTTTGTGTATGAAAATGAATAAACTCAAATACAAAAATAAAAATAAAATATGTAGCCTGTTAAGAACATACGAACTGTAGAGAACGAACGAGGTGTTTTTGAACAATCCAAAAAAAAAACGCTAGTTTTTTGACGGAATTTTGTACAAAAAACCCATAAGTTATTCAGGTTCAAAGAGACATGGTATTGGCAACGTTTAAAATACTACAAGCTCGTACGCGTTTCAAAACGACACAAACTGTTTGAAACGCCGATTGTGATTGTGAACAATAAGGGCCGATCATCACTCACTATAATGCCGTTCACAGTTCGTTCTCGGTTCGATCTCGGTCTGATAAAATATTATCTAGTAAAAAATATGTGTGTGCACTCATAGTATCCGGTAACAGTCAAGTTTCGATCGAATCCCATTCCATTATAATAAATCAGATCGAGATCAGACCGAGATCGGACCAAGAACGAACTGTGAACGGCAAATGAGGATCGGCCCTTAATGTAATAAAACAAATTACCACTAAACTTACAATATTTTATTCGACTTTACACTATTTAACAACTATTTTGGGTCTTAAACAGAGCCACCCGTCGTAATTGGGAACTCCGTCGTTTACTTGAGGCGTGAGCTTTTCTCCAAATGCTTCTTTTTCATATGGTAAATGCCATCCATCTTGGTTCTTCTGTGCGCATGGTGAGAATCGTAAAGGCGGCTGAAAACGAATTAACATATTATGCATATGTAATACAAACCTTAAATTTTACCCGACTACTCAGAATGATTATATTTTTGACGTATGTTTCACGTATGTTTGCTTCTTCCGATCGCCTCTACCCTCTAGCCTAAACATCTTGAGATTTTGTAGTGTTTTGGTCTCTGAAGTGTTAAAGGCAGTACGTAATTGCATTTCCATGAAACGCATTGTTTTTTTTTTTTAAATTTAAGTGACAAATTAACAAATGTAGCTTTAGAAAGCTTTCAAAAAAAGAAGTCTAAAGAGGCGTTGTTATGTCTGAGGACATAGATGGAAAGCTTCACACCCTGAACTCAGTGGCAGCAGAATAGGTAGGATCGTAGTACCACAGTTTAAAGATCTTACAGCTGGAAAAGAATGTATCGGTGCAGAGCGACGGTGGGGGTACTGCGGGGCAGGGGGCGAGCCGACCTGGTGCTAGCACACTTCACCGAGTCTGATAGACAATACATGTGGTTGGAGCGAGCGTGTTATATAGTACTTATTAAACTGATTTTAAGTTACGTTTTCGAAAAACATAATATACAGTCAAATCTGGGTAAGTGAGAACTGGATAAGTTAGAAAACTCTATAAGTGAGAGTAATAGCCAGGACCCTTCATTTTAAGCTCCCAAAACCTCTATTAGCGAGAAACAGAAACCTCTGTAACAGAGAGTCGTTTTTCCCTCATAGACCTCCGTAAGTGAGACTGCTACTTATCTATATCTCTATAAGCGTATAAGCAACAGTTAAGCTTCATTTATTTGTATTATTTAGAAGGAACTATAGCTACAATAAAAATACATACATACATAAAAGATAAACACATACAGTAACAAATGACAAAACAAATTACAAATTTAAAAATCTGCTATTTAATGACTCATTCTTAACTTTCGTGGAAGTTCCTGCCATTGTTTTTGTATTGTTTTCTCGTCAATATTGCACCTATTCCATTTCGTGGAACTTATTAACGTTGTTATTGCTGCGTACCTCTATAAGAGAGAAACGTTACCCATGTACCCGCATTAGCGAGAAACTCTGGTTAGTGAGAAACCTCTGTAAGCGAGAATGAGATTGTGCTCCCTTGAACTCTCGCTTATCCAGGTTTGGCTGTATATATATATACAGGGTTACTGGAAACTCGACGTATTTCTGACTGGACGTGACAGAGGAGTCAAAATGCAACAAATTTTACCTACATATGTATAGCGAAATGAAAATGGTTCCCAAAATTTTTTTTATTTTAGATTTTTTAATAAATTACCCAGATTTCTTCATATTTACCAAAATTTAAAAAAATCTGCTTATTGAATGGTATTACTATTTACTTTTATTCAAAGCTAACAGTTAGATAAAGCTACAAAGCTCATTAGTATCTGAAATCACTTAACACTTTAAAGTCAAGAGCCAAAAATCAATTCCAAAATTTTAAATTTTTAAATTGTTACAGGTTAGTACTGACTCGTATCTCAAAATTTTACTATGGCAATATTAAATGAGGAAGATAATTAAGTGATTTGTACACTTAGTACAAATCACTTAATTATCTTCATTTAATAAGCTATCCAAAAAGGTATGAATATCAATAGAAACTCATGGACTACATAATAAAATTTACATTTAACTTAGTGCAGGTAGAGCTCATTGGGGAAAATTAAAACAATTACTCAGACATTATTAATTTTATTTATAATCAAATCACCTTATTACATAATGTTTTGTACATTGTTTTAATTAATTACACATCTTGTTCAATGTGTTGCCCTCGGTTTCGAATGCATGTTCGCATTCGCTTTCGTATTTCCAACTTTGTGATCCTTGATGTGATCGTTAATCTCATCTGATCCGCCGCATTTATTATTCTCTACTTGAGTTCTTCTTCTGAATTAACTGGTTTCATATAAACTAAATCTTTTATGTCATCCCAGACGAAAAAATCTAGCGGCGTCAGATTGGGGCTTCGTGCCGGCCATGGAATCGGTCCACTACGCCCTATCCACCGGTTCGGGTAATTTTCATCGAGCAATTGTCGGATTGTTACTCGAAAGTGGGCTGGGCATCCGTCATGCTGGTAAATTATGTTCTGTCTTTGTTTCATCAGGGACATCTGCCAGCAATGCCGCTAAATGATTTTTTAAAAAGTCTTCATACAGTTCTCCGTTTAAAGTTTTTGGTAAAAAAATGTGGGCCAAATACTCCCGTTCGCTCGGGACCGCAATGGCGGCAAAATTTGAAAATTAGCAAATTTTTTGCTATATTGCAAATTTTGCTATATTTTCACTTTGAGACAATATTTATGGATAAAACTTACAGGAATTCTTGTTGAATGTATAAACTATCGAATAAAATTATTTTTGGTTGCTAGAAATTGTAATAAAATACGTAAATTACCCTGTATAGCTGTATAGTGGTATATACTTCAATTTTAGTGACAAAATTACTACTAATTTGAATTCTACACTTTTGTTTTTAGAGAAATTTATATGAAAATGTTTGGAAATATGTATATTTTTATGTTTTATGTGTTTCCATTCGTTACTCATACCAAAATATTAAAATATAAAGAAATTAAAAAAATAAAATAATAATATTTTATCTGTGTGACATTTAGAACAATATTTCTAAAATAGTTTTGTGTGAATTTGAAATAAATACAACGTCAAGTTATTTGAAATATGTAAGAAAACTATTTTTACTTACATTTTACACTAAAAATAAATGAGAATGTGAAAAATACCACATTTATGACCCAGCCGCCATAATGGGCCTTCCAGATTTTGAAGCACTTTTGGCAATTTACTTTTCACTTTTTATACCACAAATTATATATATATGTGTTCACTATATTACAAGGAATATAAAAAAGTATAATACTTTCGTTTTTAGTCCAGACACAAATATAAAATTCTATAAAAAAAGACGGAGCACCTTCATCAAAACGGCACGTGGAACGCCGAAAGTTCAGAGTGATTTCTTTTTTTTTTTTTCTAAGAAACATTGCCAGGTTATGGTTTAAAATAAAAGAGCATATCTTTGTCTTTGATACTATTATCTATTGCATAGTGTCTTTGGTTTTGTTTAAAACGAAAAAATAGTTTTTTCATAGGTACACATGTTTACATAATTCTGATCAAATTAGATCACTGCTTGGCGGACGTACGGTAGGTATTGTACGATCAAAAGTGCGCATGGCTTGGCTTACAGGTTAAATTATCATTGATGATACCCATCCATACATTAACTGAGAACCTACGCTGGGATGCGGTCTGTTTCAGTTTTTTTGGATTTCCATGTACCTTTGGTACCCAGTAATGCAAATTGTGGTAGTTTGTAATACCATCACGGTCGAAACATGACTCGTCCGTCCACCGAATGTTATTTAAAAAAATTTCGTCATCGGCATCGGCATTTAGCATAAATCGACAAAATACAAGCCTTCTCGCCGGGTCTCCCTCTTCCAATGAATGGATGGGTTTATAATGATATGGATGTCGGCCCGATAAATGTACTACAGACCAGACTTTCCACTGTGACATACCAAGTTCACGCGCTACGATATTCGTCGAGGTATTAGGATCGTCAATAAAGCGTTGCAGTATCGCCTCCTCGTCCTCAGCTGTGTACCTCCGTGAACGACCAGTGTCACTCTGCCTTCTGTTAACGCTGCCGGTTTCAGATATCCGCCGATAAGTCGCTCCGAAGACAGTGACGTGTGGTAGACGGCGGTTGGGAAAACGACGTTGGTATTCCCTTAGGGCTTCAGCTGCTTTACCATCACACAACCCGTAACAATACATGATGTCAGCGTATTCAGGATTAGAATACGCAGCCATTGTCAGTTCCACACAGAACAGCACAACACAGGGCGAAATGCTCAGCAAAAATTAGGGAAGCAGCCAGTTAACAAAACACTTGCTTGCGCGAAGTAGAATTGAAACGAACTAATGGTAATAACAATTTTGCGACGCCCGGATCCCGATCATGCCCTACGTGAACAATAGCGACCAATCACAAAGCGCGCCGGTGAATTTAGAGGTCAAGCGCAGGTAAAAACGACCCTAGATAAACGAAAAGGGATTTTCTTTACTCTTTATTCACTAAGTCAAATGTGAATTGTATTATGTACTTCATAAGTTTCTACTGACATTCATACCTTTTTGGATAGCTTATTAAATGAGGAAGATAATTAAGTGATTTGTACACTTAGTGCCATAGTAAAATTTTGAGATATGAGTCAGTACTAACCTGTAACAATTTAAAAATTTAAAATTTTGAAACTGATTTTTGGCTCTTGACTTTAAAGTGTTAAGTGATTTCAGATAATAATGAGCTTTGTAGCTTTATCTAACTGTCAGCTTTGAATAAAAGTAAATAGTAATACCATTGAATAAGCAGAATTTTTAAAATTTTGGTAAATATGAAGAAATCTGGGTAATTTATTAAAAAAATCTAAAATAAAAAAAAAAGTTGGGAACCACTTTCATTTCGCTATACATATGTAGGAATTTCATACTCTCACTACTAGTTTCAGTAACCTGTAAAATATATATATATATATATATATATATATATATATATATATTATAATCATAATTACATACACTGAATTTTTAGAACATTTATATGCACTGATTATTTATCAAATTAGTTATACTAATTCCGGAAGAATGTTGTCACAGTACAAATCCACGAACGCAAAGACTTTAACGTGCTTGAAATAAAGTTCATTTTTCTTTATTTTTACTGAATGACAGAATTAGTAATAATACAAATAAAACTGTACTCTTAAAAGTCTTATTGCCTTAAGTCATCCAGTCAGTCCATTACTGAAATGGACCGTAACTGTTTTGACTGTACAGATTTTTAGTGTGACTGTAATTTACGTAGTTTTAATTATTTTTGGGATAAAAAATTACTTATATTAAAAATGATAGGAATCGATTCAGTAAGCGATTCTGAACAAACTACTCTCTCAA